TTTGGGTAAATTCCTAAGAGGGTGATTGCTGGATTATATGGTAAGAGTATGTTTAGCTTTGCAAGAAACTCCCAAACTGCCTTCCAATGTGTCTGTATCATTTTGCATTCCCACCAGCAATGAATGAGAATTCTATTGCTCTTCAGCCACTTCAGCATTTGCTGTTGCCAGTGTTTGGGACTTTAGCCATTATAATAGGTGTGTAGTGGTATCTCATTGTTATTCTAATTTGCAATTCCCTAATGACGTATTATGTTCAGCATCTTTTCATATGTTTATTTGCCATCTGTATGCCTTTGGTGAGATGTCTGTTCAGATCTTTGCTCATTTTTAATTGAATTGTTTTCTTATTGTCGAAGGGTTCTTTGTGTGTACTTTGGATACCAGTCCTTTATCAGATACGTGTTCTGCTAATATTTTCTCCTAGTCTGTGACTTGTCTTTTCATTCTCTCAACAATGTCTTTTGCAGAGAAGTTTTTAATTTTAATGAAACTCAACTTGTCAATTTTTTTCTTTTATGTATCATACTTTTGGTGTTATATTTAAAATGTCATCACCAAACCCAAGGTCACCTAGATTTTCTTCTATGTTATCTTCTAGAATTTTTATAGTTTTGCCTTTATATTTAGATCTATAATCTATTTTGAATTTTTTCTGGGGGTGGAGTCTCACTCTGTGGCCCAGGCTAGAGTGCAGTGGTGCAATGATAACTCACTGCAACCTCGACCTTCTGGGCACAAGCAATCCTCCCACCAAGGAACTAGGACTACAGGTGATCACAATAGCTTTTATAGTACATCTTGAAATGGGGTAGTGTCAGCCCTCTGACTTTGTTTTCTCCTTCAATATTGTGTTAACTGTTCTCATCTTTTGCCTCTCTACATAAACTTAAGAATTGCTTTGCCAATATCCACAAAATAGGCTACTGGGAGTTGATTATGATTATATTGAATCTATAGATCAAGTTGGAAAGAACCGATATCTGAACAATATTGAGTCTCACCATCCATGAACATGGAATATCTCTCTATTTATTTAGATCTTTGATTTATTTTACCAGCATTTTATTGTTTTACTTATATAGATTTTATACATGTTTTGTTAGATTTATACTAGAGTATTTCTTATTTTGAGGTGCTAATGTAAATGGTATTGTCTTTAATTTCAAACTGTAAAACATTCAACTTTTCAACATTCCAATCTGTTCACAATCTGGCCCTCGAAATTTATTTGTCCCACTGAACTCTCAACTCCTTCTCTAGCCAGGCCTGCCCTCCAAGCTCACTTTTTCCTATGTGTCCCTCACGCAGTACCCTGTCATTGCACCAGCCTTTCTGACTTGAGACTGCCACTCCAATCTCATCCTGCCTCCATTCCTTTGCATTAAATATGCTTAGCACCTCTATCTCTATATTATGTTGAGCTCTCTGAAATTATATTTTTTAGACCAAAAAGGGTTAAATATCTAGTCTAGATGAGATTCTACTATGTCTCACTCCTTCTTATCCTCCAGTTCTCAGCTGAAATGCTGTCTCCTCAGAGTAGCCTTCTCTGACCACTCATCCCAGCCAGACATATCAGTCTGTTCTTCTCCAGCATTTCTCACCATCTAAAGCAAGGGTGTCTAATCTTTTGGCTTCCCTGGGCCACATGGAAAGAAGGAGAATTGTCTTGGGCCACACATAAAGTACACTAATACTAATGTTAACTGATGAGCTAAAAAAAAAAAAAAGAAAAAAATTTGCTAAAAAATCTCATAATGTTTGGCCAGGCGTGGTAGCTCATGCCTATAATCCCAGCACTTTGGGAGGACAAGGTGGGCGGATCACCTGAAGTCAGGAGTTCGAGACCAACCTGGCCAACATGGTGAAACTCCGTCTCTACTAAAAATACAAAAAATTAGCTGGGTATGGTGGCACATGCCTGTAATCCCAACTACTCAGGAGGCTGAGGCAGGACAATAGCTTGAACCTGGGAGGCGGAGGCTGCAGTGAGCTGAGATCATGCCACTCCACTCCAGCCTGGGTGACAGAGTGAGACTCCGTCTCCAGAAAAAAAAAAAAAAATTCTCATAATGTTTTAAGAAAGTTTATAGATTTGTGCTGGGCTGCATTCAAAGCTGTCCTGGGCTGCACGTGGCCTGCAGGCCACAGGTTGGACAAACTTGATCTAAAGCCATCTCATGTATTCATTTGCTTCCTTGTTTCTTACTGTTTTCCCTCCTCTAGCATATAAACCTTCTGATACCAGGGGCCTTGTCTTGATCAACAAGCCCCTCAGAGACCAGCTGGGTTGGAGACCCCAGATACTTGTCCCACCCTAGGGAAGGGGAAGCATCCCTTCACCCCGAACTTGACTGATGTTGTATTTCCAACGAGCTCTGTGTTTGGGAATGAAGCCTAATTTACCTGACATAGAACAATAGGGAAACATGATATTTCTGTCCCTAAGTATTGAGGACCAAATTCGTAACTCCATGATTGTGTGGTTGAATTGTAGCATGGATTGTTCAAATAAGGGATTCTGTTGGATGCAGAGGGACTGAGTGAGAATGAGCTCTGGCCCAGCAACACCCATTTGTTTCCTTGACTACCATCTCCTCCAGCCTGTTCTATGCCCAACAACAGAACAGGCTTCCTTACACCCATGGTGCTCCTCCAGCTCTGACTCTGATCCACAACTTCAGTGGCTCCCTATTGCCACAGAAAATGCTCATGCCCCTTCCCATACCTTCAAGGCCCTGCTCTCTCCTGCCCCACTGACCCCTCCTGGAGTCCCTGCAAAGAAGTCTCCTTCTTTCCCCTCTGTCCATCCTTTGGAGCTCCGATTAAGCCCCACCTCCTCCAGGAACATTCCCCATCCTCCTGCAATATGGACCCCTGTGTGCCTCCTGTCAGTGTCCCAGTTAGTCCATTCAGCTCTCAGGGTTTCTTTGAGAATTTCTGGGGCCTGTTTTAGAGCTCAGGCTCTGGAAGAACAGGAACTGAGTCCGGAAACAGAGAACCAGCTTGTGAATGTGACTTGTTGAAGTCAAAGGAAGAGAGGCTGACAGGCCTCCCAGCCAGAGAAGAACTTGGTAGAGGAAGTCTCTCCATGGGGACCAGACCCCCTAGAACACACCAGCTCAGAGAAGTCGGGTGTGGTGCCCTCGAGGGAGAATCCATGCAGCAGTTCCTCCCTGGCTTCCTCCCCTCCCCACCCTCAAGTGTGGAGCCAGAGCCCAACTGACTCAAGTGGCAAGAAAAAAATGCCCCCCTCGCCCCGCCCCCCCCCACCAAGCTGCTGCACATCTGTGTCCAGACAAAGCCAGCTATTAATCCTTGCCTTTGTGTGAGTGTTTGGGTGTTGAATTCCGCTTGGATCTGCTCGCTTTTGGAAGGGGAGATTGGAGGGGATTTAGTGAAGACAAAAGGAACCCACTATGGGGAATGGTGGGGGGCAGGGGAGCTAAGAAACCCAAGTGCATTCACTCTTAGCCTGGTGAGGGTCCTGGGAGTCCAACTTTAGCTAGAGCTGAGTGGGGAACCCAAAATTCCCAGGGTCTGAGTCCGGAAAAGGGACCGCTCCCCAGAATAAAAATACCTGCTTCTCAGGGCCTGACAGCAGCCTGCTTTTCACTGCAGATGCTGCCCAGGGCAGTGGCCCCAGCCTAACAGGACCTGACCCTTTCAGACTGGAGCAGCCCATTGCCCAAGTGAGTCCAAGGGGCAGAGACAGGAGGAAATAGGGACTAGGAAGGAGCCCGGAGCCTCAGAGACTGAGTCCAGATGGAGAGAGAATCTCAAAGCCACCAGAAATCCCCAGCTGAGTCAACAACACAGCAATAAAGCCAGAGGGCCTGTGGCAATGTGGCTGCTCAAGGCCTGGGTTGGGCTCTCAGGAAGAGTTCTTGGGTACCTGGTCCCAGGCAAAAGTTAAGTATTCAGGGAAAACAGTCCACACAAATTCTATCTTTGGCTCAAGCATCAAACACATAGAATAGCCCAGAACAGGATGACAGTGCATGTGTGCGTGCGTGCGCGTGTGTGTGTGTGTGTGTGTGTACAGGGTCTTAGAATCGTGGGCAAGTCTGTGGGCAACACCGCCCCAGCAGGTGTTGTTTGATTAACTTACTTAGCAGAAGCTCTGGTCTAGTTACCAGATTGCTAGGAGAGCAGGCTGGGGTATGAATTGAAACACCCTGACCTGCCCCTCCTACTTTGTTAATTTCATTTAGAAAATGAGATTTCCCCATCTGTGGGTGCTTGATTCTAAGCTCACCGAGTTGTCAAGTTACATCAAGTACAAGTGACTTCAACTCTATGTGGGTGCGGAGACACACCCCCCAAAGCTTCCTCCCCCTTTCCCCCTTACCTGAAATGTGTGGTCATGTCATGTCATGTCATTCATTAAATAGTTGGCCAAACTACTGCGCTGCAGGGCCCAGTTCTGGCTTAGCTGCTGGGCAGAAAATGCAAAATGTGGTTGCCTATTGACACTTGTGTTCAACTAAGCTTCTGGGCTTATTTAACTGTGTTCTAAATAGTGCTTGTACATCCACAGCTATTTTATTCTTTCTCTACCTTCATTCTAAAAATAAAAGAGTAAAGTAGAGGCATTCATTCATTTACGCATCCATTCCTTCAGGAGAGGAGAAGGCAAGGCCGGCTCCAATGTTCTCCCCACTCTTTCTTGGTCTTTGGGGTAGGGAACTTGGGACTCAGAGCTGCTCCACCTGCTGTCGTAAAGGCACCCTCCTCCCATCACAGTTTCTGAGGACCTGGTCCCAGGCAACCCCACTCTGGAAGGCAGGGGAAGAATAGGAGGGGCCAGTTCCTGCCCCAGGGGCTGTGGCCTCCTCTGAGTTAGGGAATGGACCCAGCTTCTCCAACTTCCAGATGGGGCCTTTTGGAAGCTCATACAGCCACTTCCATTCCTGATGTTGTCCGAGGGCCTCTGACTGTTGCTGAGCTGCCTCTGTGTCTGGTTGGCAGGCCCACTGCTGCACTGACCATGGAACTGTGCACCTGGTGTAGACCCCGCTCTGCACTAAGGAGCCAGAGACCTTGCGGGCATCTTCCCCTCTGGGCTGACAGAGAGGGGCTTGGAGGCATGGAGATGGTCATGGGGATTGATTGAGAGAATCGGTGAGTGTGGTGGTTTAGAATCCCCAGGTCCCACATTGTTGTAAGGCACAGAGGGCGACAAACAGTGGCAACATGAGCTTGGTGCCTTGGGCATCTCAGTTCTGCCACCACAAGTGGGCTGTGATGAATGGAATTGGGGTGGGAGGAAGGGTCAAGAGGGGGCAACAGGACACTTAAGGGATGGTGTGACAGGGCAAATGGGGGAGAAGCTGGGGTCAGAAGTCCTAATCAAGTAACAGGTCTAGGCACAGAGTCCATGACAGGCATTCTGGAGTCCGTGGCTCTGGGGCGTGGCTTCGCTCTCCACCTGCCCTCTGAGGATGGCTGCAGGTGGGCTTGCTACCATCACAGCCCTTGGGTAGGTAAGGGTCTGGCTTCCCAAATTAAATGCAGTCAGGGTGGCATTTACTGAGTGTTACGTGTCAGGCAATGTGCTAAGTCCTTGACATTGTACCATCTCAGTAAAGCCTCATAACCACCCATGAGGTCAATACTGTTATTATTCCCATTTGATAGCTGTGCACACAGTAGCTTGGAGAAGTCAAGGGCCTGATCTAAAGTCACATGGCTACACACCACTGGGGCCAGGACTTCGGAACCCAGGCTGCTCTCTACTCAGTTGAGGCTCTCTCAGACCTCTAGATCTTCCTCTTCCTCCCCAGCTCCACCTCCTTCAGCCTTTCACAGCCCAGCAACATGGAAAGGGCCTGGAAGAGGAGGGAGAAGAAGTCCAGTTTGAGGCTATATTTTGGCTCCTTGGTCAAAGGTGGGGTGCCGAAATAAGGGTGGAGAGTCTGGGGATTTTCTGGAGATTTCGCTGCACCAAGATGTTGACTGTCTCCTCCCAGAAGAAAACAGATGAGCAAACTGCTCTGGAAAGTAAATTTTTTAAATTAAAAGTAAGTTTTTCCTTTTGGCAAACACAAATGCAGTATATCCTTTGCAGGGGAAAGCTAGAAAATACAGAGAAGCAAAAATAAAAATATAAAATACCTTTGTAGTACACAAAGGTGATGACTACTAAAATCTTGCTTTTTTTTTTTTTCTTTTTTTTTTTACACAGGGTCTTACTCTGTCACCCATGCTGGAGTGCAGTGGTACAATCATGGCTCACTGTGACCTTGAACCCCTGGGCTTAAGGATCTTCCTGCCTCAGCCTCCCAAGTAGCTGAGACTACAGGTGTGTGCTATCATGCCTGGCTAATTTGCAAAAAAAAAAAAAAAAAGAAAGAAAGAAAGAAAGAAAGAAAAAAGAAAATAAAATTATAGAGACAGGGTCTGCCTATCTTGCCCAGGCTGGTCTTGAAGTCCTGGCCCCAATCAACCTTCCCTCCTTAGCCTCCTGAGTCTTTCCAGGATTACAAGTACGAGCCACCACATCTGGCCTGCATATATTTTTGCAAACTCAATTCCTAAGTACCGACACATACACACATATACTTTTCATATTCTTCTATTTTTTTTTACTTCTATTTCATGGAAGGACATTTTTTTTTTTTTTTTTTTTTTTTGAGACGGAGTCTCGCTCTGTCGCCCAGGCTGGAGTGCAGTGGCCGGATCTCAGCTCACTGCAAGCTCCGCCTCCCGGGTTCCCGCCATTCTCCTGCCTCAGCCTCCCGAGTAGCTGGGACTACAGGCGCCCGCCACCTCACCCGGCTAGGTTTTTGTATTTTTTAGTAGAGACGGGGTTTCACTGTGTTAGCCAGGATGGTCTCGATCTCCTGACCTCGTGATCCGCCCGTCTCTGCCTCCCAAAGTGCTGGGATTACAGGCTTGAGCCACCGCGCCCGGCGGACATTATTTTTTTAAAAGCAAAAATGCTATTATTTGGAAACTGTTTCTTTTTCACTCAATAATTTATCTGAACATCTTCCCAAATCAGGACATATTCATCGACTCTATTACATTCAGTGATTGTGTGGCATCCTGTTTTATGGCAGCACCGTAATTCATTGAACTCATTTCCTAATGGTAGATATTTAGGAATTTCCAATTTTCTGTTCTTGCTAAGATTAACAGTTCTAGCTAAATCTCAGTGCATCCTTATAGAATCTTAATGTGAAATTGATGGGTCTAAAGGTGTATATTGCCCAACTGCCCTCAGGAGAGATTGTAGCTATTTATTCTCACAGTGTTTGAGACTCGCCACAGCCCCACCCCCAACACACACACAAACGCGTTGTTGTTATTCATGGGAATATTCTTTCGTTAGGAAAAAAAAAGGGTTGACAACTTGATACATGAAATGCTATCTCATTATTGTTTTATTTAGCATTTCTTTAATTATTAATTGGGGTCAACAGGTTTTCATGTGCCCATTAGCCATTTTTATTTTGTCTTTGTGAATTGCCCATTCATGTCTTTTGTTCATTTCTCTGTTGGATATTCTTTCTAACACAGTTGTCTTATTTTAGGTGAGTCATTCTTAGCTCTGGCATATTAGAATCGCCTGGAAGACTTTTTAAAACACACACACCACACACACACGCACACATACACACACCCCACACACAAGGAAAGCAGGCAAGAAAGCGTCCCATCTCAAGATAAATATTTGGTGGGGCATGGGTATGAGTATTTTTTGAAGTGTTCTTGTGCTTCTAATTTGCAGCCGTGGTTGAAAACCACTGTTATAAATTAGATTTCTCCCACTGTCTGGCTCCAAATGCTTTCATGCAGAATCTATTCTCATTTTGTTGACACCCAGTTTTCTCTTATGAAAAATGGGCAGCAGAACTGCAAAGCAACACAGCACCCCCTCCCAAATTCTGCAGATCCCATGGGGGAGACCGAAGTTTCGGGAAGGACGGTGAGACAGACGCTGTGGTCAGGCTGTTTGCCAGGTGGATTGGGAAAAATTAAAAGAGCTTTCTCAAGCAATGAGACTTGCCCTGTAGACAGTGTGAGCTCTCAGTGGAGGAGGAGAGAGCTGGGGTCTTATGGGACATTTGCTTCTCTGTTGCACCCATCTTCAGATACATAGCAATCTTACCCTTTCGAGGACTTCGAGGCTGAAGATTAGCACTTTATCTGAGGCAGTTCATCCCCTTTCGTGAGAGACTGGAGAAGTTTGGGCCCAAGGAACTGAGTCCTTCAGGAGACAACCTGTCGTGACATCAGAGGAATCCCTTGGGGGTACAGGGACTCCTCCACCACTTCTAGCCCTCTTGAGGGATTTATGACATTCTCAAACTTACTTAAATTCATTTGTATTAAAACGCACAGGAGCCACTCCCCTTCCTCTTCACCTCTGTTCCACCTCAGGGCATGGGGTCCCACCTGGGGGACAGGATGAATGAAAGGGTCTTTCCAGTGTTCAGTCAGGAAGGTCCCTGGAAACCCCTAGGCTGGCTCAGTGCCCCTCCATGTTGGAGACTGCTGAGGCCTCGTGGAGGATGACAGCAAATTTGGGTCCTCCAGGTACTGTTGCTCCTGAAGTTGGAAGAATATGGTCAATGGCCTGAATCCTACTAGTCCACTTGGTGTCAGTGTGTGGTCCTGGGCCTCAGTTTCTGCATCTGTAAAATGGAGATAGTAATGTTGATAGTCAAGGTTACTAACAGGACTGAAAACACAGCACATACAACACTGTAGCTGCTTGATTAATGCCAGGGGTGCTCTGTGGAGGTCCTTTCATGCCCTCACCCTCTCCAGTCAGGGCTGAGGGTTTTGAGTTTAGCTCTAGACTCTCCATCCTTTCTTTTTTCTTCTGAGATGGAGTTTCACTCTCATTGCCCAGGCTAGAGTGCAATGGCGTGATCTCAGCTCATCACAACCTCCTCTGCCTCCCGGGTTCAAGCAATTCTCCTGCCTCAGCTTCCCAAGTAGCTGGGATTACAGGCATGCTCACCATGCCTGGCTAATTTTGTTAGAGGTGGGGTTTCACCATATTGGTCAGGCTGGTCTCAAACTCCCGACCTCAGGTGAGCCACCTGCCCTGGTTTCCCAAAGTGCTGGGATTACCCGCGTGAGCCACTGTGCCCGCTGACTCTCCATCCTTTCATCCCCAAGTCATCCTCTACTCATTCCATTGCCTCAGGGGTACAAGAGGCAACCCCTACTCAACTGGTCCCCCAGCCTCCAGCACCGTGCAGCACCTATGCCAGAAGCTATGCCCCTTGGCTGGCATCCTCTATCCTCTCTCCCACCCTCTCCCTGTGAACCCCAAGCAACCTCAACCAGTTCCTCGCTACCCTTGCACTTTGCTGCCTAGACTTGACTTTAGACATTCTATTGTAAGTTTAATTTTTATTGAGCACTTACTCTGTGCCAGGGACCATGTTTTGTATTCATTACCTTATTAATTACTCACAAAAACCTTTCATTATCCCATTTTACAGATGGGAAAGCCAGACTAGTTGGTGAAAACTGCCCAAAGCTACAGGGGCATCAGGGAGCAGAGCTGGTACTCTGACCCCATCCCGCTTTACTGACCTCCTAGGAAGCTTAGATTTCAGGGGATGTCCTCTGTCCCTCCCCTGAGCTCCCACTGCGTCCTACTCCTCTCTCTCTTCCACACTTGCCCCACCCTGCCCCACACTGCGATTTTCTGGCTACCGCTTATCTCCACTGACCGTGATGAGTTCCTCCAAGGCAGAACACATGTCTTTGTAGTTTATTCATCTTTGAGTCTGGCACAATGCTTAGAACATTGCAGGTTCTTAAATTATTTTTCTAATTCAAAAGTAACACGTGCTCATTATGGAAAACAGAAAAAATAAAGCAGAAACCAAGTATCACCTATGAACCCATCACCCAAAGAAAATCATTGTTAATATTTTGACAAACTTTCTTCCAGTCCTTTTTAAAAATATATTTTTCCTTAGGCAAATAATATGTATTTTGCATAAAGTAGGTATCATACAATACCATTTTCTATGCTGCTTTTCACCTCATATCACGAGCAATTCTCCATGTCATTAGAACTGTTTTGAAAATGGGATTTTTTGATGGCTGCAGATTGTTCTCGCATGTGACTGAGCACTCTTCTTTAAGCTCCTCCCACATTGTTGGGTTTTTCTGTTTGTTTGTTTGTTTCTGAGACAGAGTCTTGCTCCATTGCCCAGGCTGGAGTGCAGTGGCTAGATCTTGGCTCACTGCAACCTCCACTTCCTGGGTTCAAGCGATTCTCCTGCCTCAGCCTCACAAGTAGCTGGGATAACAGGTGCCACGCCTGGCTAATTTTTTGTATTTTGGGTAGAGACGGAGTTTTGCCATATTGGCCAGGCTGGTCTCGAACTCCACCCCATTCCTCCCAAAGTGCTGTGATTCCAATTGTGAGCCACTGTGCCTGGCCTATTGTTGGTCATTTAAGGCCTCTCTGATTAATCCCATGGAAGAAATTCCTGAAGTAGAATTGCTGGAATAAAGAAAAGGAGTATGTCCAGGCTCTTGACAGCACAACTGGCCCTGAACAAACCCCTGCTCTATCAAACCCTCTCCCATCCTCCCCAAGCAGACCAGCCAGAAAGCCCCATCTTCTGGGGTCCTCCTCTCATCCCTAATCCCCAGCCCCCAACCCCCTACAACCCATTCAAAGGCTTAGAAGCAGGTGAGAGGGTCACCTGGAAGATGGTACTTGAGAGACCTGGCTGGCCTAGCCCAAATCTCCCCTCACTGTGATCCGTACTCCACCATCAGAATCATCCTGAGTCAAGGGCAGGGTGATTCAAAGGTTGTTGGCTGCAAAATGGACTTCTGGTGGGAGACATTGTGCAGTAAGCCAACAGTCCTTAACAAACCATGGCCTTAACCCTCCCTGTCACTAGGTTAAGAGCAGAGACTTGGGTCTCAGGGGATGGGACACATTATAGAGTTATGAATGTGTTAAATTTTATTGTAAATATTATGTAAACATATTTTAAAATATTCTGAAAAAAAGACAAAAAGTTATGGTCACATCTTTTGAATTATTCCACATTTTTTCTAGGTGGAAAAAGAACGGAAGTAGTTCCTTCCTATGAAATGGGAATAATCTTCAGTGAAGGTTGAAAGTATCTTCAAATGTATCCCAAACCTTCTGGGATAGATTTTCACTCAGCCTATAAATGACATCCATGAAGCAAGGGTCCATGTTCCCATGTGAGCCATGCCAGGTGCTGTGAGCCGCTCAGAGACCATCGACAATAGAGGGTCAGAGTGCTTTTTCAGCTCCATTGTCAACAACTTGGGAGGTAATCTAAACAGATACTAAGTGGATCAATCCTTTGAGGAAATCTGTGTCAATTTCCAAGTCACTCCTGGTCATCACCCAGGAAAGACCATTTTTATTAAAGAACCCCAGGGCTGCCTGCAGGAACCATTTTCCCTGTCTCACCAGTCAATAATCAGCAGGACACCCTGCTATTTGAGGGAACAAAGGCAGGGTCGCTGTCCACGAGGGGCTCAGTCCACCCTCCGGCTCTGTCCACCCTCCGGCGGGGTCTAGGCTCTAGAGCCAAGGTTCTCAAGCTTCCACAGCGTAAAAACCGCCTGGAGGTCCACAACACCCAGTCTGCTGGTGCAGGGGTTCTGATCCAGAAGGTCTCGGGTGGCTACAGGAGCCGCATATTTTTCCACCGAGGTCCCTGGGGATGAGGCTCTTGGCCCCAGAACTGGGCCCAGGAGGTCAGAGGGAGTGACCGCAAGGCGCGGCGCCGCGGGGAGACAGCCCGGGCTCAGATCCCAGGGTGGAGGCGGGGACGAGCGCCCGGCAGAAAGGGCGGGGGGCGCCGAGGCGCCTGGAGCGGCCGCCGGGCCTGGGGAGCGCGACGCGGAAGCCGCCAGAGGCCGGAAGCGGGGGCGCCCTCGAGCGGGCGGGCGGCGGCCCTGCGGCTCCGGGCGGTTCGGCGGGGTGCCGCGGCGCGGCCGCCCGCAAGCTCCCAGGCGCTGGTCCAGCCACCCCGGCCGGCTCGCGTGGCTCCGGGGGAGCGGCCGAGAGTGAAGCGCGGAGAGGGCGTTTCGGAGGCTGCTGGGGCGGCAGCTGAGGTGGCCTCTGAAGAGGGAATGGAGCTTCCCCCTGCCCCCCAGAGCGCCCGCAGCCCCGGCCCCCCGCATCCTCGCGTCCTGAGCCCAGCGGCCAGAGCCGGCCGGGCGCCCCCTCGGCTTTCCAGTCCTCGTGCGTCCCCCGGGGCCGAGGCGCAAGGAGGGACGGCCGGCTGAGGCCTCTCTCGCCTTCTCTCCCGAGTGTCCAGGCGGATAGGGTCCCTGCCTCTCCAACCCCTCCTTTCTCCTGGCTTCCTGTCACCCGGGCACAGGACGCTCCTTGGCCACAAGAGACAGAAGTCTTCAAACGCACACCCCCACACCCCAACCCTCTCCAAACACGCTCTGGGCGCTGGCCACTGGTTCTCCTTCCTCGTTCCTTCCTTCTTTCTTTCTTTTTTTTTTTGATAGAGTCTTGCTCTGTCGCCCAGGCTGGAGTACGGTGGCACGATCTCGGCTCACTGCAACCTCCGCCTCCAGGGTTCAAGCGATTCTCTTGCCTCAACCTCCCGAGTAGCTGGGATTACAGGCGCCAACCACCACGCCCGGCTAATATTTTTGTATTTTTAGTAGAGACGGAGTTTCACCATGTTGGCCAGGCTGGTCTCAAACTACTGACCTCAAGTGATGCGCCCGCCTCGGCCTCCCAAAGTACTGAGATTACAAGCGTGAGCCACCTCGCCTGGACCTTTTCTTCCTTTTTTTTTTTTTTTTTTAAAGAGAGGAAGATCTCGCCCCTTACCCAGGCTGGATTCGAACTCCAGGGCTTAAGCGATCCTCCCGCCTCAGCCTCTCCAGCAGCCAGGACTGCAGGCGCGCGCCACCACGCCCGGCGTAGCCACCCGCGTTCTATCCCCAGCGCAGCTCCTTAGAGCTGATGACCTTTAACAGCTCACTTCACCTCCCTGTCCTCAGTTTCTCCTTCTTGAAAGGAACTGGGTTAGATGGGGATGGTTTCTGAGGCTCCTTCCAGCTCAACTGTCCACCTTAAAGGTGTAAGTGGCAGAGGGTGGAACGGGTCTGGTTCAGGGAGGAGAGCTGGGGGTAAAGGCAGGCCAGGGACTGCGAGGTGGGTGGAAGAAAGGAAAACAGGAGGCAGGAGAGCGGGGCATGGAGGATACCTTTGCCAGCCTAGCCTAAGAGCAGGCTGGCAGAGCCCCAAGAGCCTATACTACGGAAGGCCCCCATGGGAATCCCCTCACTCTCTGGGTGCCTGAGTTTGCAGAAATCTGTTTGCCAGAGAATGAGGGAAGGAACAGGAAGGAACGTGCCGGCAGGACTGGAAAATCCAGCTGGGCAGGAGATAACTGTGGCTGCACCTCACACTGGAGGCTGAAGCTTTGCTTGGCTCTGCCCCTGTGTCACGTGTCAGTAAGGCTGTTAGACCCCAGGAAGCCCCGCCAAGGGAAGTGACTACTACCGGGCTGCAGGCTCCTGTGCAGAATGTCTAGTAGCCTTTATCTTTGGGGCCATACACATGTGCTTCCAAGACTGTAGGCAGATGACGTTCAATATAAATCCACTTTCCTATACATTTACTCAATGAGTTCAAAGATGCTTTTCGTTTACAAGCTTGGTGGCAGCTTCCAACACATTAACCCAAAGGCCTTCATGTTCTCCCCAGCCTACCCCTTTGTCCCTCTGCAGAAAGGGAACCTCCTGCAAAATGTCCAGATGATTCAGAGAAGTATATATAACAGGCTGGCTGCAAGTGGCAGGAACGCCCCTCTAAGTAGTTTAAAGACGTGTGTGTGTGTGTGTGTGTGTGTACATGCGTGTGCATGTATATAATTTATTTTCTGCTCAAATAATTTTAGTAAAGGTAATTAACTAAAGGTAAATAACTAGTCTTTACCAAGAGCAGGGATGTGGCTGGGCCCAGAATGCAAGACTCTCCAATAGCAGCTCCCAAGCTTAACAAGTTAAAGTCACACTGCAACTTTTCTCCAAAATTCTAGTTAAAGGCTGAGGCCGTCACCAAGCAATTGTTGCCAAGAACTCAGGATGTTGTGGTTGGAGGGGCCTGCGCCAGAGGTCCACTTCTGAACCAATCAGCAGGGCCCGGGGGGTGGGCCATGTTCTGCTTACCTCACAGCTTCCACACCCGCAGGGTTTTGGGAACCGGAGGCAGGTGGACAACCCCAGGAGTCATAATGAGAAGAAATGCTACCTCGGTGCAGTGGACGAACGTGCAAACCACACAGAAAGTTTGAAAAAGGTCTACTGTAGGCTTTGCTTTCTGGTTATGGCTCCAAGATACAAAGTGCCTCACACTCCGGCACTGATGAAGTCCATACGGTTCCTAGGCTGACACCCACCAGTCAGTCAATGGGAGAGCTGGGACCAGAGGGCTGACTTGACCTGTTCAGCAGGAGTGTCTAAGGCCTTTGTGGGTGGTGGTGCAGGTTGTGCGTGTGAATAATGAGGACAGTTCATCATTACTCAGGACACAACACCTTGGCGATCTTCAGAAACATTAGAAACAGAGCTTCCAAAGTACCTACTCACACGCCACCTCTCTGGAGGTAATCGCTGTGCTGTGGCTCTTAATGAGCCACTCTCCACATGGCCTGAGGCCTGGCACTGTGGGGATTCCCTCTGTCCCTGAGTCACGGGCCTCTGCTACTGAACTGTGAATAGGGACTGGGTCAATGACAGCGGGACAGCTGGCCCAGTGGCAGGGTTGGGGTGGGGGCTGCTGGGAAGCTGCCCTGTTAATCTCTCTCTGCCATAGAAGGCACTCCTTGGGTGACCCCTGTGACTTTGATGCAGAACAGGGAAAGAGAGTGGGTGTTAACCTTGAGCCTAAGGCTCCTTCTCCACCTGTGGGACTGTAAGCCACCTCTCCTGGGCTGAGAGGCTCTGGAAGGAGGCTTGGCTGCTCCTCGGCACTTGGGGAACGGTTTTTCAGGCACACACACTGGAGCTCCATAACCTCCCAGATTCCCACCGCCCCTGCTTGACTCTTCCCCTGTCTCCCCTTCCTGGAATGACCCCTCTGAATTCCTTTGACTGTTCTCTGGTTGTCAGTCTGACAGTGAGAGGTGTGTAAAGCATGAGGTGACCTTGGGCAAGTTGTTCAACCTTAGTGTTATCACCTGTAGAATGGAGAAAACAAGACTACACACTTTGGAGGTAATTGTATGTTCCAGTGAAATAACAGAGCTTGAGAGGTCCTGTAGGCACATGGACCTGGAGCCAGACCCTCTGGGTTCAGATCTGTCCTGCCATGCGTTTTGGGGCAAGTGACTTTTCTGTGCCTTAGTTTTATCATCTGTAAAATGAGATGAGAATAATGATGCCTATTTCTTAGGACTCTTGGGAGATTCAATGAGCAAATACACAGAAAACACCTTGAACAGGGCCTGGCGCTTAATGCTGGGTGGAGAGCTAGCTATTATTGTCGTTGTCATAGAGCTTAATTTTGTGCTGTGCATACAGGAAGCTCTCAAGAAATGATAACTCAACAAAGGAAAATAAAACAAAACCCGAACCTGCCTCCTTCAGTCGGGCCTTGTCTCCTAAATGAGCCTGAGCTCCTGGGTGAGGTGTGGGCACAGCAGGAGTTTCACACAGTTTTGATCGTGTATCCGAAAAGCTGCTGGACACTGTGTTTTTCTTACCCTTCTTTTTGGGGGTGGAGTGAAGTTGTCACAAACTCCCTTGGGAAACTGATGAAAGCTACAGACCCTCTGCCCAGAAAGGTGCTTGGAAGCAAATGTTCACAATATGTTGCACACAGTTTCAGGGGGTTCCTGGGCTCCTCGGGAGCGGAGGTGAAGAGCTCCGTTTTTGATGATGTACTGTGCCGAGTCTCATTTGTTGCTTTGATCCCAACAAAACACAAGCTAGCCCTGCTCCTTTGCTCATCGGTGAGTTGTACCCCAGCTTCCACCCTGGCTCCAGGGACTCTCCTTGATTCCTCTGCCCGGGCCCTCTGGCTCAGTACCAGCTCCAAGCTACAAAACTTGGCTGGGAGTTGAATGCAGAACCTGTTCAGCATTTGAAGGCTAAGAAAGAAAAAGGAGGAAAAAAGTAGACTCGACTTAGAAAAAAATAAGACAAAAGAAATCATCCTCCAAGCCAAGTGCTATAATTCACAGGGCTCATATTTGCTGAGTGAGACTAAATGGTATTTATGGCCAAGCGGCCCTGGATTCACCCTGGGTTGAGTGATCCAGGAGTTGCCCGAAGTCTGGTGGAGAGGGCGGGGCGGGCCTGAGGGCTGGAAGACCAGACACCTTGCACAGGGAGACTTTGTTGCTGTTCACAGATGATGTGGTTTTTGCCCTGCTTAATGTTAAGTGTAGTTTCAGAATTTTGTATGTGTTTCTGGGAAGATAATAGCCTCAAACAATATTACTTGGGGTAGATGATGTACTTAGAATTGGATTATTTGCCGTAGGGCCCATTCGTTAATACACTCATTCGTTCAAGGTTGATGAAGTGCCTTCTTTGTATGAAAGGCTGTTCTAGGCACTGGGGGTACAGTAGTGATTGTGGCAATAATGGTCCCTGTCCTAATTAAGTTGACAGTGTTGGCAGGAGAGACAAAGAACACAAAATAAACAGTAAATATATCTTGGATGATATTGTGTGCTAAGAAGAAAAATACAGTAGGCTGGGATCTAGAGAAGGTTGGGGGGCACACTTTCAGTGAATGGTCAGGAAAGGCTTCTTTTCCAGCAGAGACTGAAGTGGGAAGGGAGGGAGTTCAGCACAGGTCTGAGGAAGGCCCCTGTGAGGAAGGAGGACCAGGTACCAGGTGACCAATCCTGATGGGGCTGGGATAGCCCAGTAGGAGTGATGACCCACAGGGTCAGTTCCCACTGCTGGGGGTTTCCAGATGACGAGGTTGTTGAGCACCCCCATGCTTATGGATACCATGAGAGGAAGCGTAGGAGATAGAGGGACAAGCTAAATGACACTAGGAGGAGACAATCAGATAAATCCAGAATGTGGGACATTTTATAAGACAACTAGCCTGATCTCTTCAAAAAATCCATTTAATGAAAAATAAAGGTGCAGCCATAAAAAAGAATGAGATCATGTCTTTTGCAGCAACCTAGGGGCAGCTGGAAGCCATAATCCTAAGCAAATTAATGTGAGACAGAAAACCAAATACTACATGTTCTCATGTAAGTGGGAGTTGAACACTGGGTACTCATGGACATACATAAAGATGGCAACAATAGATACCAGAGACTACTAGAGAGGAGAGGGAGGGAGAAGGGGAAAGGTTGAAAAACTATTGCATACTATGTTCACTAGCTGGGTGGCAGGATCGTTCATACCCCAAACCTCACATTATACAATATACCCAGGTAGCAAGTCTGTGCATATACCCCCTGAATCTAAAATAAAAGTTGAAATTATAAAGAAAAAGAAAAAGATAGGAGAACTGTTCTAGATGAAAAAAAAACATACAACCAAATGAGATGTATTTTCCTTGAGCAGCCCCTGGTTTGAACACGCAAGCTATAAAAGACATTTTAGGGACATTTGGGGGAATTCAAATATAGACTTCATTTCAAATGGGAGTCAGAAATTATGTTTAACTGTCTTAGGTGTGATAACAGTGTTGAGGTTAGATATGGAAAATCATCTCTTTATTTTGGATATGGTGTTGCTATGTGTGGGTGACATGGGAGAATGTCCATAATTTATTCTAAAAATTTTCAGCAAAATAAGTAAATAAAATCTAAGATATTTGAAGTTAGGGATGGCTTGAGGGAGGAAGATGAGATACCCTAAAGGACACCACTCACCTTCCTGGGCTTGGCCAGGAACCAGATGCTTGACAAACCCAAGGGTGAACACTCTGTGTGTTCGGGATGGAACACACAAACACCTGGCACATAGTAGGTGCTTAATAGAAGTTGAATGAATGGATGGATGGATAGTCTTTGTTGGGATTTACTTCCCAGGATGGGCCCTGGCTGATCACTCCCTCTGCACATGTTCACATCCCACCCACCTTGCAGGCCACCAGAAGACAATTAAAAACGTGGGCCCATCATAAGACAATTAAAAATGTGGACAGGTTGCCAAGGGTCACCTTTTATGGACATGCCTATGAGATCCCTCTGAGGTCTCTTTGGGTGATTCTGGGCCACATGGCTGTCTACCCAAACTGAGCCCCTTCCCAGCCTCCTGACGGGGCATACTTCTGTAGCCTCATCATTAAGTCAAGAGTAGGTTGCTCATAATCATTTGATCATGAACAGCTGACCTGGTGGTCCTCATTATTTCGTTGAATCAGGTGCTGCATCTTAAATACCCTAATGCCCTAAAAAGTTCCCAACTCAGGCAGTATACATCGTAGATACTCACTAAGATCTTGGTGCCCTAAACAATAACACGTAACATTTATTGAGCACTTACTATTTCCAAGTGTTATGCTAAATGGTTGTTGATGTTGCTGTTATACCCTATGGAGATTCATGTGCTAAGGGTTTAGTGCTCTGGTCTGAATGTTTGTGTCTCCCTCAAAATTTATATGTTGAAACCAAATTCCCAATGTGGTTGTGTTAAGAGTTGGGACACCTGGGAGGTGTTAGGCCACAAGGGCAGAGCCCTTGTGAGTGGGATCAGTGCTCCTATAAAAGGGGCCTGGGCGGGTGCTTGCCCCTTCCTCCAGGTGAGGACGCTGTAGGAAGGCATCTGTGAAGCAGAGGGTGCACCTTTACCAGACGCGGAGTCTGCTGGCACCTTGATCTCGGACTTTGCAACTTCCAGAACCGTAAGCAACACATTTCTGTTGTTTATAAATCATCCAGTCTAATGTATTTTGTTATAACAGCCCAAACAGATGAAGACAATGAGTTAGCTCTAACTCCCCTAAGTAGGCTGTTTTGGTATTTTTTACTTTAATTCCTAGCCACACTTTACATACTGGTCCATGGTCTCACCACAGAAGTGGCGGTGCCCTCATTCGAACTCTGGCTGCCACTTTTCTGCCTCTTTTCCCGGAGCAGTGCACAGGCCACCTCTTCTGTGACTCTTGAGGGCTCAGGATTCCTCATGTCCTGGGGCTGGTGTATGTTGGAGGACAGTGGCCTAAGCAAGCCGTGAGCTGGCAGGGCCCCAGAGCTGCCTCATGCATAAAACACAGTTTCAGTTATGAGTTTTGTTTTCTACCAAGCGCCATGTTGAAATGATTATGTAAAATCGCGCCTGCCCTTTCTTTCATGATCCTTCAGAAGCACACCACAAGACCATGAAAACTCGGGCAGATTGACAGGTGTCTCCTTTTACGGATGTGCCCGGGGAGGACCCTCTCCCCAGAGGTCAGC